AAATCACCGAGTAGATCGATAAGACAAGATCGATTGAGTATCTTAGCGTGGTTAGTTTATTGATCTCTGTGGATTGGAAACATGATGCAGCATGGTGACAGCCCGTACCCTGAAACTAATACCAGAACTCATGAGGTGTTCATTGATAAGAAAACAATGTCTAACATCTCCCATCCATCTGGTGTCCAACTCTCCTGAAACACCTTCTCATCGCCCCCAAACTAAGGCAGAACAAAACTTACTATGGCAACAGGCAAACAAGCTAGCACTGAAAATAAAACTATCAGGGATGCAAAGGGTGGGTTTGTCCGGGGCTCGTGCCAAGTGGGCACCGACAACATTTTTCCCGCTTCTCCAAGACCGGCACAATGGCAGAACATATTCACTGCTTTTGCAATCACATTATCTTTACCTTTTAACAACCCCTCCGATTTATTTTAACAAAGTTTGTGTACGTAGGATTCAATTACTTTGCACAATTTAACCAATGATATCAAACACTTTGAGTGTACAATGTTAAGGACAACGCTAGCCCAAAACAAGTTATATGGTCAATAAATTCAAAAGTTCACGCTGGGATTCATTTCTTAGTGCATGTTCTTTGCCACAAAACGGCATACAGTGAAACTCATATAACAACGTCTTCGGGTCTGACCTTCGATTTAGTTGAATCCGATTGTTCGTAAAAGCAATGTGAGCAACAAGTTGCGTTACAGTGTAGGGCTTAGCATACAGCAGCGTCTGTTACTACAGACCAGCGCCCAAGACATTACGTACTTTTACTTCAATATCTAGACTAGCTTTTCATTGTCCAGTAGCCGGGGGAGGGGTGAATATGATAGTGACGCATTTGCACCTCGGCCAACTTTTCACGCCCGAAAAGCCTGTGCCTACGCCCCGCCCCCCTTAAAAAAAGAGAAAAAAAGAAAAGAAAATACCCACAGACTAATGCACAACAGCCACTCGACCGACCTCTCTTTACCCTGGCACACACGAAGACACGTCATGCCTTTCATATGTGTCAGCAACGCACATGTTGGTGAGAAAGAAGGCTTTGATTGGACACATAAGATGTACACAATAAACTAGGCTAAGCTTGTAATGATCCACAGTGCGAGTGTGATTGATGGTAGCCTGCAACAGAGTAGATAAGGTTCGTGCGACTTTGTTGAACTCGAGTTCGCTCATTTATGTGTTAATTGAATTCGTGTTATTTTATTGAATTTTTTTTCACAAAAACCCCACCAGGGGAATCTGTACCCTTTCGTTGAATCCGAATTTTCGTTGAATCCGAGTTCGTGGAATCCGAGTTCCCATGTACTTATTACTCGACACCATCTCGAATCTCTTGAAACCTTGTTTACTCTTTGTTCTGCCAATAGTTTACCAAGCTCTGAAACGTGCTACATCGTATCAAAATATCGTAAAACCCTACATCCGATGCAGGATAAAATAAGGTAAAGTATGCGCCACCCGCTACCATAATAGATTTAGCGGAAAGTTAACTTTGTCCCTTGTGCCAGATACGGACATGTCTTACAGTGCATTTGTGTTGTGAGAAGATAACTTTTCTTTTTTTTTTGCTTTCAATAAGTCGTCAGAAAGTCTCAATGCTCAGGAATCGAACATAAGGCTCCCAAGTGCCACACTGAAGCGCCTGATTGCTACACCATAAATATTGATTGTTTGATTTTTATAAGGCGGTATGGGAAAAAAGTAAGAAAACGAACAAGTATGAGAGAGAGAGAGAGAGAGAGAGAGAGAGAGA